ACGGGCCTGTAGTTGCCCAGGTCCTCCCTCCTCCCTTTTTTGAAGATGGGGACCACGTTGGCTACCCTCCAATCATCCGGCACCTGGCCCGAGCACCACGAGCGCTCGTAAAGCCGTGCCAAGGGCCCTGCAATAACCCCTGCTAGCCCCCTCACCACCCTGGGGTGGAGAGCATCTTGTTCCCTGTCCCCCCAGGCCCTTTTCTGCAGAGCTGCTGCCCAGCCTGTCCCCCACCCCCCCACCGCCTGCCCCGGTGCAGGGGATCACTCCCTCCGTAGTGCAGGACTTTGCACTTGTCCTTGTCAAACTTCAGGAGATTCATTTTGGCTCAGTCCCCCGATGAGTCGAGGTCTCTGAATCCCAGCACTACCCTCCAGTGTATCTATGACTCCCCCCAGCTTGGGGTCGTCTGCAGGCCTGCTGAGGGGGCACCGTCCCTCCTGGATAAGCCAGATCTTCCCCTGCCGGGAACTGTCCCCGTCTCCATCACCCCGCTGCATCGTTGCAGGCCCCCCGCTCCTCCTGTCCATGCCCTGCTTCTCGCTCCGGCGCACAGACGCTGCAGGGTCGCGCGGCCTGGCCTGGCCGCTCCCCGAGAGCACGGCGAAGGCATCTGCTATCGGTCGCTTGCGTTGTCTCCAGGCTCGTTAATCACCTCAGGGTTTTGTCTGGGTCCCCGGTGACCCTCGTTTAAAGCCCTCTGGGGATGGAGGCAATAAACCTGGAGGTGATTAAAGCCCTGGGGGAGCTGGAGCGAGCAGCCACCCGCAGCCTGCCCACGGCCGCCTTGGCCTGGTCTTCCTGGCCAAGGTACTTCTCGGCTGCCTCTGCCCCAAGCTCCTCCCCGCCGGGTCCTGGGCTGCTGGCTCGGGGGGCTCGATCCCCCTGGCCCGCGGGGGCGTGCGAGGCCAGCAGCCTGGCAGCACACCCTCCAGGCTGCTCCCAGCATGCCTCTGCCTAGGAGTGTTTGGGGGCAATCCCAGCGCCACCGGGCCACATCCAGGCCAAGGCAGGATCAGCCCCGTCCAAGCCTGCCCAGACAAACCCCGTGTGCGAGTTTGGAGCCACACGACACCGTCGCCCCAACACCGCCCGGGGCATCGCCCCCGCCCCTGGGATACAGGGGGCCGCGGCCCACTGTCCTGCTGCTGCCGGGGGGGTTGGTGAGCACTGGGGACAGCCCAGGGCCAGGCTGTGCCCCGCTGCAGAGAGAGAGGAAACCCCCCAGCTGGGCCAGGGTGAGCAGGGGGCAAATCCCTGCCCACCCCCCAAGGCAGCCAGAGCGCGAGGGAGCAGAGCCCAGCGCTCGCCCACGGCCCAGGCCTGGATGCTGCACAGCCCAGGCGTGCAGACCCCTGCGGGCCCCCCCGAAGGAGCCAGGCCAGGCGGGGCTGCGGCTGCACACACGCGACACAAGAACTTTATTGACGTCAAGATACAAAATTATAGATTTCTCTAGAAATTCCTCTGCTGCTCACGTGACAGGAGGGGGCAAAACCACGGGGGGAGAGGGGGGGCAGAACACGGGGGAGGGGCAGCTTCTCCAGCCCATTGCCCCTACCCCCCACCCCCCGGTCGCAGGCTGCCCGGGGCAGGGGCCATGTTGGCAACATGCAAACTCAGACGTGCACACGGCCCGAGATGTGTGGAGGAGCCCATGCCTGCCCCAGGAGGTCGGGGCGAGTGCCAGCGTGGCCCCCTGCCCCGGGCAGCCTGGGAGACCCCGGCCCAGGCCCGGGGGGGCAGCAGTGGAGGCGATGGGGGAGGCGCGGGCACACACACAGCGTCACACAGGGACGGCGGCGGGATCGGGGGGGCCAAGCAGGGCGATGGCGGCCCCCTCACTGTGGCAGTGCCTTCAGGATGGCGTTCACCTCCTCGGCCACAGCCGTCAGCGCAAACTCGAACTGGTCCTGGGGGCAGGGAGGCTGTGAGCGGGGGCAACACCGCACCAGCCCCCCTGGAGGCGCTCGCCCCCATGCCCTCACCTTGGTCTGCACCATGCCAGGCCGCTGGTCGCGGATGTGCTCCAGGGTGGCCGCGATGTCAATCTCCTTCACGCCTGGGGTCAGAGCAGGGTCAGGGGGCAGACTTGGGTGCAGAGACCCAGGCCCGCTGTAGTCTAGGTATGGGGGTCTGGGGGAGTGTGATAGGGCTGGGGGTGCTGGGCAGGGGTCTCAGGGGCTGGGCACTGGCCAGGGCAGGCACGGCACTCACCCTTAGCCATCCTGTTCAGGACCATGTCGATGAGGATGTAGGTGCCCGTCCTGCTGGCCCCATCGCTGGAAGACATGGAGACGGATGCTGGCACCAGCAGGCACGAGCTGCTGACCCGCCGGGCAAAAAGCCTGGTGCCAAGCAGGGGCCGGGCCAGCCACAGCCGCCAGCCGTGAGGCTGTCCCGCGCTCCCGTACCCCGGCCGTGCCCCCCGGGCAGGTGTTACCTGCAGTGCACGATGATGGGGCAGGAGCGGCCGCGGTAGCACTTGTTCACCTTCCTGCGTGGGGCAGAGGAGACTGATCAGCGGGGCCGGCGCCTTCCCTGGGCTCCAAGCCTGGTGCCACGACCTGCCTGGCTGCCCTGGGGCTGAGCGCTCCCACCGCCCCAGGGTCCGTCTCAGCCATGGCAGGGTGGGCTGGGGTCAGGGGGCAACCAGACCCCCCCGAGGGGGGCAGGGATTGGGGCCAAGGCCCCCAGGTAGGACTGGCAGCCACTCGGATGCCAGGAGCTCCTCTGCTAGCCCAGGCTGTGGGTGCGTGGGCACAAAGGCTTGTCGTGGCTGGACCTGGGTTGTAGGTGCCCCATAGGGTGCAGAGGGCGCAGCCCGGGGGGCCCATGGCAGCCAGCAGACGAGCCCGCAGCAGGGCTGGTGCGCAGGCACGGTCCGGCAGCAGGCGCGGCCGCCGACGATCACTTTTGTGACTATGCAACTGGACCCAGACCACGAGCTGCAGATCACAAAAATGCCCCCGGCAGCCGCGAGACAGGCAGAGCCACGGGCAGGGCGAGCGGCTGGGTGCGTGGGGGCAGGGGCGGGGCGGGGCGGGCGGTCCTGCCTGTGGCCGGACTCTTCCCACCCACCCCAGGGGAGCTGGGGGTCTCAGGGTCTGGCCCTCAGCTTGCAGAGCTGGTGCCCACGCGAGTGCACGCCCGCGCGCCGCGCCCGGACCTGCGGAAGTCGAGCAGGGGCCGCGTGGTGGCGGGGAGGCCCTGGGCCGGCCAGCTCAGGAAGTGGAACTGGGTGAGCGTGCGCGTCTCCTGCGACTGCACGTTCTTCAGGTAGAAGCTGCGCACCAGGAAGTCCTCGCACCAGATGTGCTCCGACACCAGGTTCACCTGCGTGTGGGGTTACAGGCATGGCCGCGACTCCCAGCCCCACACGGCACTGTGCCGCTCTCCTTACCCCCAGCCCGCCTGGCACAGGCCCGTGCCCACCCGCCACAGGGCTCCGTGCCCCCCAGGCCCACCCAGCTTGGCTCCATGCCCCGCCCTCAGCTTGGCCCCGTCCCCCTCCAGCCCTCCTGGCTCAGCAGCCCTGTGCCCACCTCAACCCCAACCCATGGCCCCAGCCCCCCCGGCTGCTCTTACCTCATAGACGTGGTAGAGGGACGAGCCCTCGTCGGGCCAGTAGCGGTCGCACTGCTTGACGCTGTCCTCGGCCAGGGGGCTCAGCATGACGATGACGGTGCAGCCGTGCTCCCATACCATCTGCGTGTTGGGGACACGGCCGTGGCAGGGTGCTGAGGCTGGGCTCTCCTGTGGAGCTGCCCCGCTCCAGCACACGTGTGCACTGGGGCCAGGCTCCAAGCAGGGGGCACAGCGCAGAGCCGGGGGTGTCGGTGTCCGTACCCCAGCCCCACTCACCTGCCAGAAGTCAGCGATGGTGTGGGACAGCGGCCCCTGCGTGGCGATGTACGCCGGCATCCGTGGGTCATGCTCGATCTGCGCCGAGACATGGCGTGTCAGACGCTACCAGGGGGTTGGGGGGCAGGAAGCGACCAGGGAAGCTGGTGTGTCACGGGGCACGCGTTTGCACACCTGGCCTGTGTGCATGCAAGGTGACTCCAGCCAGGCAGCACAAGCCTCAGCAGCATCCCCAGCGCGTGACGAGGGCACGTGCAGGGAGCCTGGTGGGGCAGGCATGCCAGCATGGAGGCAGGGGTCTCTAGGCAAGCTGGGGCTGGTGGGTCCCAGGGGCAGGGGCCTCTGGGCAGGCAGGGCAGGTATGCAGGTAAAGGGGGCTGTGGGCAGGGGTCTGCAGGCAGCAGGCTGGGGCGCGCAGCCGGCTGGGACTCACGATGGGGCTGGCATTGATGAAGTCACTGCGGGACGGGCTGCAATCGGCCTTCAGCTTGATCCGTGCGTGGTCGTCTGCAACCGGTTTAGGGGGGGGGGCCATGAGCAGGACACGTGCCCCAGCCCCCCCAGTGGGGCAGCCCGGCCCCCTGCATCCCACTACAGGACCCCCGGGGGGCAGTGCCTGGCCAGCCCCCATCCCCTGCGCGGGCACAGGGTGCTCACAAGGCACGAAGTCAGGGTGCCGGTTCTTCTTCAGGTTGGCTTCGCTCTGCGCGATGGAGCAGGCATTGGGCTCAGCCTGGTACGCGCACAGTGCCTGCCACTCCTTGGCCAGGCGGTCCCGGTTGCGCAGGTGGTCCTCCATGTAGGCCTGCGGGTGCAGCGCCGCTCAGCACACACAGCTGCAGGGGCGGTGGGCTGTGCTAGACCAAGGACTGGCACGTGCACACACATGTACGCACACACACATGCACCCATGCTCTAGAGCAAGTCTGACATCCCCAGCTGTGGGCAGCAGGAATATGTGCACATACGTACACAAACGCACATGTGAAATCACCCACCCACCCACACAGAGGCATGCATTCTGGCACAGGTCTGACATCCCCAACTGGAACATGTGAACACGTGCACAGATGCACATGTGCAAACAAACACACACACACTTAAGCAAGTCCAACACCACCAGCTGGTAGCAGCAACAAGACGCACACTCTGAACAGGTACGTCACCAGCAGAGGGCAGCAGGGACAGACCTGTGTGCGCACACATGCCTGCTTACACATGCACATGGACAAACACACGCACTTGGGAGGTCTGACACTAGTAGCAGGGGCAGACATTTGGGGGCACACACATGCGTGTGCACCCACACACACGCCCATGCAAGCACTCTGCAGTAGGTGTGACACCAGCAGCAGGGGGCAGGCACACACACGCATGCACTCTGCAGCTGGTCTAACACCAGCAACAGGGGCAGCTGCTGCACACGCAGGCACACGCGGCGGCTCACCAGGATCATGTGGCCGGTGGAGATGTCCATGTTGGACTGGGCGGGCTCCTCGCACCAGGACGGCGTGCTGCTGTGCGAGCTGGGGCTGGCCTGCGGCGCATCGCTGAACTGGGATGAGACGCTGCTGACGCGGGAGGTCTCGGCTGGTGCTGGCGCGGGTGGGTCTGCCCGCCCGAACAGCGACTTGGCCGCCATGTGCTGGCGGCACAGCTCCTGCGACAAGGCCACGGCTCAGCCCTGCCCTCCTGGACCTGGCGCGGGGAGCAGTGCCTGCAGTGCGGGGGACGAGCCGCCGACCCTACCTGGTACTCGAAGGGGGTGTCGGCAGCGCCCTCGGGCCCCAGGGCGACCAGG